GGACTTGGCCCGTGCGCCATGAGCGTTCAAATATTCCCGCCAGTGGCTCTGCAATGATGTCGGCCAGTGCCTTCAGTACCCTCGGATGGAGCTCATCCGGGCCTGCTGACTTAAAGGCATCCAGTTCTTCCAAGTGACTCTGCACCATCTCAGGGTCTATGCATGGAAGTCTGGCACCTTGCTGCTGCCTCTCTACAACCCCAGTGAGAGACTTGTCGTGCCCCTCGCTTAGGAACACTGAGGTAAAGAACTCTGTGTTGGGTCCAATTAAAATTCTTCTCTTATGATTAATTTTTGTTCCCTTTCACAAGTATCTCTGTTTTTTCTTAAGTTCAAAATGCAGGATACAAAGAAGTAGCTTACTTCAGGTTTTAATTTCAGATTCTATGTGCCAGTTCATCCTGCAGTGACTGTTTTGGTGTTTGTGTGTCTGCAGCTTCCAGCAATTAGTGTAAGTCGGAAGGAGCTATGAATAGTGGAGGGCTGGCATTGTGTCACTCAAGGGTTATTGTGGCTGGTAGTTTTTTCAGAGACTGGAGAGAGAGGGTGTCTGTCATCATACATTTAAGAATACCTTAACATGTTCAGAGAAACTAAAGGGGAGGGGTTGTTGGCATGTTTTCAACTAGAATTTGTTGTAGTTGTTCCCACAGGAAAACTGAAAAGTTTGGGGGGCAAAAGCTGGTACTCCTTACATTCTAAATCATGTAGTACCTAGTGCGATTGGTTATAAAATTCCCAGTGACTTCAGTGGAAGCAGGATTATGCCCTAGAAAGATAGTAAGTATGCAGCAAAGATGCAGTCTCACAGCCCTAACTTCTCAAAAATTGTCTCAGGTTCCTGTGCAACCATTCTCTTTAAGTGCAGGTGGTAGAGTGGGCCCCGAACTTTATTTTCCAGGTCAAAACTTTTTTGACTTATGAACAGGTTGCATGCCAAGCAGCAGTTGTTACAGCTGTATTTAAAAGTCAATGTTTTAAAGAAAATTACTTTACTTTCCTGTCATGTCTTGAGTCTTGGGTTCTGTTTTCCCTTCAAAAACCACCAGAAACTAACCTGGCTGTGTTGTAGTGAGTAGAGCTTGTGTAAATGGACAAGATCCAAAAAAGTTGTTAGATGCCTAAAGTACAACTTAGGTGGAATTTAGAGGCCTACGTCCAAGTGAACAATGCCAGCCCTTCACACAACCCCTGCCTAACCACTTACAGACTCATGTATATTTATGGACTTACAAGCACCTGTGTTTTGGCCAATTAATTTATTCAGACTATAGCATTATAGCGAGACATGGGTTTGAACTCCTTCAGGCTGAGGGGGAACCTAGAAATCAGGCCTCCCACTTCCTGCATAAATGTTTTCATCACTAGGCTAATAGAAAATGTGGGGTCACACCAGTTGTCTATACAGGGAACTTGAATGTCCAAGTCAGGTTTGGGAATGCCACTCATAGATGCAGGTGCCTAAAAGTTGGGTATGCTGATTTTGAGCATCTTGTGCATTTTTGAGTACCTTTGTGGGTTTGGGGCCATGGCTCTAATAAGAGAAAGATGGTCCTGGGGGAAGAGCTCAGATAGATTTTTGTTACCTGTTTGTAATTTTTAACTTGAAACCAAAATTGTATCACTTATTGGAGCTCTTACAAAGCATTTCACTTTTCAATTTGCCATGAAGATGTATATAAATTCATGTATACAGACATAAATCATGCAGCCCTAATGCAGTAAGGGGATGATCCAAAGTTTAATGAAAACCATGGGCACCTTGTCACTGATTAGTTGGTCTTTGGGTCAGGCCCTAACTAGTCCCCCTGTTGATTTTCATTTACTTAGTACGCATTAGTCATACCCAAAGAGAATATTTCCCACAACAAGACTCCATAAGACCACACATCGCTTTTCGTATTGTAGATTTTATCAAATATGGATTCTGGAGCCATCCACTTGAGGGGAAGTCGTGCCTGGAACAAAATAGATAAGTCCTACAATTATTTTCAGGAAAGTGATTCTCTTACTTTGTTCAGCACCGCTGAGGCTTCACTTGGAGTACTGTGTCCAGTTTTGTGGCCTGCACTTCAAGAAATATGTGCACAGATTGGGAAACACAGAGCAACAAAAATAATTGGAAGCCTGGGAAACATGACTTACAAGAGCAGGCTGAAAGAACTTATATCATTTAGGTCAGAGAAAAGAAGCTTGAAGGGGGATTTGATAACACTCTTCAAATATCTGAAGCATGGTTACATGGATGAACATGACTTGCTGGGGAGGGATCAGCATGGCTTTGTCAAAGGGAAATAATGACTCACCAACCTACTAGAGTCCAATAAGGATGTTAATAAACAGGTGGATTGGAGCGATCCAATTGACATAGTATATTTGATCTTCCAAAAAGCCTCTGACAAGGTCCCCCAGCATATGCTCTTAACTATATTAGGTAGTCATGGGATTAAAGTGAATGTCCACTCATGGATTAGAAATTGGTTCCAGATAGAAAGCAAAGAGTGAGTATAAATGGTCAGTTTTCAGGATGGAAAGAAATAAACAACAGAGTCCCCCAGGAATCTGGCTTGGAATCCATACTGTTTAACATATTCATAAATGAACTGGACAAGAAGGTGAGTAGCAAGGTGGCCAAATTTGTGGATGACAAAATTATTCGAAGTAGTGAAGACCAAGGTGGGCTGTGATGAGCTACAGAAGGATCTGGCACAATTGAGTAAATGGGCAACTAAATGGCAGGTGAAATTCAGTGTAGAAAAGTGCAAAGAGATGTACCCAGGCATAAATAACCCAAGCTATACATGATGGTGGGCTTTACATTAGGTCTTACTATTGAGGAAAGACATCTGGGAGTCACTGTGGACAGTTTGCTAAAAGCATCAGCTCAATGTTAAGCAGCCATCAAAAAGGCAAACAAAATGTTAGGGGTTATTAAGAAGGGATTTGTAAACAAAACTGTAAGTATCATTATGCCCCTTTATAAACCCATGGTGCATCCACACCTTGAATACTGTGCCCAGTTGTGGTCCCTTTAGGTAGTTTCAGAAAGGGATTGGACAAATTCTTGGAGGAAAAGGGGTCATCACTAGCCATTGAGCATGGGAGTTTGTGGTACAGTGTCTGAATTCGAACTTTCTTGACTTTAAATGGTAGAGGCTGCAAGTGAGAGGAACAGTGGAAAAAAATTCTGGTCAGACCTAGTTCACTCTCCCTTTCAGCATCTACTCTCTGCCCCTGCGTGGCAAGATACCGGGCAAGATGGACCTATGGTCTGACCCAGTAAGTAGCAATTCTTATGAAGGATGGAGATAAATTATTCTGTGGCCATAGGGGACAGCACAAGGAGCAATGGTTTTAAATTGCAGCAAGGGAAATTTGGGTTGGATACTAAGAAGAGCTTTCTCATTAAAAGGGCACTAAGCACTGGAACAGGCTACCCAGAGTAGCTGTGGAATCTCCATCCTTAAGAGCCAGTTAAATTAACTGGGATAAATAAATTGTCATGGTTTAATCAGGGATTATTCTGCCTTAGACTAGATCTTCCTCCTGAGATCCCTTCCAGCACTACTATTCTATAATGATTCTATAGTTTTATGTAAATATATGCAAATAATGAACTTTGAAACATGGTTTTACTATAATTTCTTAATTTACAGAAAACCAACTAAAACATTGTCTTAATTATTTTGCAAGGGAAAAAAAGATTTCTTTTTCCAGTTTTTTCCCCAATCATATGCAATGTAAAAGAAATCAAACATGAAACTACCTGGCTTTTAAATAGGAGAACTTTCCAGTAATCCAAAGAGTAATTCCTAGCCTGGGTATAGTACTCTAGGTTTTTTAAAGCAATTTATGAATGTTTATTACTCCTATGGGCCAGTCCCACCAAATTCTGTTAAATTCAATGTACACAGGCCCAGTTTGGCCTCTCAGCTTTCACTGCAAGGTTAGGTACTTTATTACCATCATTTTACAGGAGGCATGAGTGGGGGTATATTGGGGAGAGGGACAGGGAGGTCAATAATTTTGTCCTCATTTCCTGAAGCCGCCAAATGGACATGTGCTCCTACAGGACAGGTCTCCCATCTGAAGGCACTGCCCCAAGAAGGGAGAACTAGCTGCATTGGGATTTTTGCCTTATCTCTAGGAAAACCCATCTACATTCCCAATAGGAGGGTTGGTTACACTCATTCCTGAAGCAACTCCAAACTCAGTGAAATTATTCTGACATGCTAGAAGCAGAGTTTCACCCTAGGTATGAGCACAGAGGGACACGGACCTCTTTTGGCATGAACGATTGTTTTCAAGAAAGCAGCTCAGTGTTAACTAGTTTACTGAGCAGGTCTAGCCAAGAAACAAATATCAATATAAACAATTAAGGTACCAGAACTGTAAAATGATTAGCATTTCCAAGCCTTGTTTCTGAGAATGTAAGTGTGCATACAGCACATCAGGATTTCTTGTCTTCACATAAAATCCATGATTAATGTTAGGCCCTTTTAAGTTCAAGGAATGTAAACACTTACAGAATGTTTTAGGGAACAGTTTAAAATGATATGTTACAAACAACTGCACAAATAAAAGCAATGTTGACTTACATCTCCTTTTCTCACATAATCAGGGTTCTTATAAATATCTCTTGCAAGGCCAAAATCACAGATCTTTACCACATTGTTCTCAGATAAAAGGATGTTCCTGGCTGCTAGATCACGATGAATGCACTGTAATAAAATAGTTTCACAATAAAACAGCATTTCCTTAGTACAATCCCAAATATCCTGAATGTTTTCTATATCCTTTTTTAATTATTACTATTTGAAAGTTCAATTTAATATTTTCTTAGGGAAGCTGAATAACATTTACATGAAGTTTCTGTAAATAATGAGTAGCTCTTTACAAACAAACATTTCTATGGACCAAATAATGTGTAAATCTTTAATCTGTTTAGCATAACCAGGGGAAGTGTTACATGGTTTGGATTTCCATAGTTATTATATCTTAATTCATTCAGAGGATTTTTTTTTAGCTTCACCTACCACCTTCCACCTTAATCCTGTGTTTATAGTATGAAGACTTGAATAAACACATGCTTATATTTAGAATATCAAGAGGAAAGCTGTTCTTCCTTTGGGACATTTACCAAGGGAAGGTGTCATTTAAAATTCAGACATCATTTCACCTCTGCTGAATCTGGTTCTTCTGGAGGGCAAAATGCAAGAGTGTAAAACTGACCTTTCTGGATGACAAGAACTCCATGCCTCTTGCCACCTGAAAACTGTAGGAAATCAGATCTTCCATTGTAAGGGGCAATTTGTAAAACTCAGCAGACTCTGGAAACAATTTAGCACATAATAAGTTAATAAGTTTGGGATTGGTTTCTTTTTTCCCTCTGCTTGTGTTAGCCCAGTAAGTTCACTTTTAACAGAACAGTGCTGGGAGGTCAAACCTCTGTCACCAACAACAAAAATAGTGTTAGTTTTACACCCTGTGCTCTATACACTTTGTGTTTTTCCCCCAAGATAAGGAGCAGTCAGAAGAAACAATCACACATTTTCCTGTCAGATTCAGTAACCCTGTAAATAATCTTTTTATAAATCTTCTAGCCTTTGGACATGACCCTATGAGTGTCTCCCACGGATGTTTATTAGGGTGATAAATGAAAAAAAAATCAAAGATGCAAAACATATTGTAAAAATATCTCAGACTGTGTAGGAACAGGAAGGAATCAATACCTACCCTCATCATCCTCTTCCACATCACTCAGACTTTTATCTTCCTGAAAGCCAGAGCTTGCTAAGCTCTCACTGCTGGTGACACTACCCAGCCTTTGTTTTTCACCTTCCACCAGTTCAGTATTCTTTTTTTCTTTCATCTGATCCGCTTGCAATGATGCATCCTTTGAGCAAATAGAGAGCAAGAGATTCTGTGTCCGAGTAACAGAGACTGAATAGTGCAACTGGGAGTGGGGAAGAGGGGAAAACTGGGAGGGCAAGGACTGCCCAGAGTGAAACTTTCTCAACTGTGCTACGTACAAATGACGTTTCCCTCATCCTTGTATGGCTCTGATGCTCCCATTGGCAAGCACCTAGCCTCCCACTTTAGTTGGTAGTAGGACTATTCGCTTGATTAAAGGATGGATCCACAAAGGTGCTTAGGCATAGTAATGCTCAGTGTTGTAGTACCTAGCTTTTAGGTAACTGGTGTTTAATCTGCAGCCCTGTATAATGGGGCCCCTACCCCATTACTGAAGGACAGGGAGTTAGGGAGCATCTGACTGGCTCAAGGCCCCTGGAGGGACTAATAGTTAGGGACCTACTTAACTCACAGTGAGACAAAGACATTTTCTTGGCTTTGCCCTGGCACAAAGAGCCAATTTCATGGGCATTTCAGGGCTGCCCTGCTCATCCTCACTGATTGGCGAAGAGGACCTGCCCCTCAGCAGTGCTCGCCAGAGAGGCCCCAGGGATTGGGGGGCAAGTGACTGACAGGCCATGGGTGGAAGTGATGGGTCAGGTAACCCAGCGAGGGGGTAGAGGCCTTACAAAGCTGGGACTGTGGCTGAGGCTTCAAGAGAGGGGATCTGACCTGCTAGGGGGGAAGGACTTCAGGCTGCAGGGAGCTGCAAGGAAGCCCCTGCATCACCAGGCAGCAGAGCAAAGTATTTTGACCTTATGTTTAGTTTGCTGTCATGGTATGACATTGACCCAGACTGGGGTGGAAACCTTTTGGTTTGGAAGAAGCTTCTTGTATTTTAATTGTGTTGAAGTTTGAACCAAAGGACCAGGTTGTGGCTGTAGAGGAAGAGGAGGCCACCGAGAAGGGTGCCAGGAGCACTGCTATCAGCTGAGGATTGTAGGGTGTAGCAAAAGAAGCTGAGGGCGCAAGCCCAGAGCCTGTTAGGGTGAGAGAGGGGCCCAGAGCCCATGAGGGCAAGGATGGAGCTGGGGCCCAGGAGCGCTAGGATCCTGGGACAGTGGGCCTTAGGTGGAGGGGCCCAGCCAGAGCCAAGTGGGCTCATGCCAGGGGACCGAAGCCCAGACAAGGTTCTAAGACCTGAAGCAAAACCACTGATCTCTAGGGGCAGCCTCCCAGCACAACTTCATAGCATGAAGATGTAGCAGGTTAAACAGGTGGACCCCCTGAGAGGTCCGAGTGGTTGAGGGACGGGGAGGAGCGAGGCCGCCACTAGTGGGGTTGGGAAGATGGCCCCTCCCACTCTGGGCCTAGGTATGCTGCACCCTGATTTGAGTTCCCTTTGAAACACATGGGGAAAAGGAGGCATGATGGCCAAGGCCTTATGAAAGCCAAAACGCTGAGCCATCCCAGATTGCCAGTAGGAAACACTGTGGAAAGGCGCGTGCATCCAAAATCCTCTCCCTCTCTAAGTCTTTAATCTCTAATTCTGCAGAAAGGCAGGTTTCCTGCCAATTCAAAATTCACAACCCTGAACATGTGCCCAGAGGTAGGCACATGAGCCCCCTCTTTCAAGCAATAGTAATTCCTTTCAGAGCACAGTTGTGAAAGAAAATGGTTCTGCCCTTTCCTTCCTCCCCCTCTCTCCCAGCCCTCTGTCCAACAGATGAGTAACCAGTACTTTATCCAAGCATGATGTAATGTGAAATATGAATGAATGCTCAGAGTAGAGAGAGGAAACCCACTCCTTCCCAGTGAGTGCCCCAATCCATAGGCTACACAGTTGCACTCACTCTCCTCTCTTGCCCCCTTTCTGTCCCAACACATTTTTTTCATTCAGTGGAATAGCTTCTCACACAGACACTGAACCCTAGACTAGCCCTGGCCTGGTAGGCAGGGCACTACCTTGCAAAGTGGGAGATGTTGGTATGGTGTGGGGTTTATGAATCCCCCATCAGACAGAGGAGGTAAAGTACCTCCAATCACTGAGCTTATTGGATAGAAGAGGTACAGGGGGAGTTCCACCCCAGACTCTTACAAAGAAAGCTGGGCAGTGAAGCCTGGTTCAGCAGATGGGCTCTCAGAGTGCTACGAGATCAAGTCCCTCAGCTGAGACAGGCAGAGGGACTTGTTTTGTAAAAAATAATGGAGCTCAGGTATGAGATAGGTGCTGGGCTGCCCAACCAAAACTGTTGGTGCTGCTTAGTATTTCTGAGCATATCCAAAACAGACTTTAGACACATGGAGAACTTTCAAACTTGAGACACCTGCAGGGTTAGGCAGTAAGGTGGTAAGGTTTTTTAAGACTATAGTTTTACATTAAGGCATGTAAATCCCACTTTAGGTGCCTCGGTACTTCTGCGGATCAGTATTTATATCAGTGATTCTCAGCAGGGTGCCACAACACACTCAAGTGCCACGAGGCACAAGGAGATAAGCATATAGACAAGGTCAGGCTTGTCTCTGTCTAGCCAATCCCCCACTTTCACTGCCCAGCTCTTCTGCAAGGTGGTAAGCAGTATAATATACAGTTGTGGGGTTTTTTTTAAATTAGGTGCCACTCAGTTCACAAAAGTTATGGAGGGGTGCCTCAAGTCCAAAAAAGGTTAAGAACCACTGGTCTAGATACTCACCAAGAAGAATATGGTTCGCATAACTTGTCTCCCTATTTGTGACAAAGAACATACCTAAACACAGTGAAAACTACCAATGCTATGTGATGGGTGCATATGGACAGCACAATCTTCTATTCTCAATGGCCCTAATCCAGGTAAACCATGCTTCTTAGTTTCAAGTCTCTGAAAACATGTCGCATTCTCTTGTGTGTGCATGATGGCATGGGGTTCAGTATGTGAGAGCACTTTCCCCATGTTTCTTCTGAGTGAACCAAGATGCTCTAAGTCAGCAGAAACAATCCTGTTAGCAAAAGGTAAGCAGGGGGTGGAAGCATACAGGTACACGCAGTGTCAGCATCTTTACCTTGCTTGGAAAGAAAAAACTTCTTTTGCTTTTCAGATAATTTGATAAGTTTCCATATTTGCAATATTCAACAATCACCATCAGAGGCCCTGAGTAGAAGTGAAATGCATTTTCAGTGGTGTAAAGCAAGACATGAGAAAGGAGTCTGTTTGGAACAAGCGTCTATCATAACATCACACATTTTGGGGCAGAATGAGTGGCTCAAACCCATACCACACATGAAATCCCCTGCCCTCCTCTCCCCCTCCCCACCAACCAAGTTACTGGGGAAGTTTCAGTTCATACTGGAATTGTACAGTCTTAGTCCACATCAAATAAAATGAGCCAGTGTATCCAAAATGAATTACTGCCCATTTATTGGATACTTGGTTGTCTTACTAGCACCTCGTGAGGAGATTTATCAAAGTGTATCTCATGTCTGATCATTCAGAGTCACTGGCCATTTCTGAAGTACCCTTGGTTCCTGCCCTTTCTATGTTATGCTGATCTCAACTTTAGAAGCAGGGCACAAGGCAAGGACTATTCTCTTGTAAAGGATGGTCTTCATTACAGCTTCACTTATTAAAACCAAGAGGAACCTGTAAGTTCCTTTAAACCCACGGTGTGGCCACATCTGGGTCCAGCAGGTGTACAAAATGCAACAGGTAGGAATACAGCCTCAAGCTCAGGGCATCTAAAAACTTATGACTGTTGATGACCGGGAGAGCATAACATGGGATGGATCATTGTACATATGCCCTCTTTTTATGTTTTTCCTTTAAAACATCTACTTGTTAGTGTGGAAGACAGGATACTGCACTAGATAAAACTTTGATCTGGTTTGATGTGGAAATTCTTATGTTCTTATGTCAAAAGGGACATCTCTGTTTCACTACCCCTTTTTGCCAAGTAGAGAGAGCTCAAGTATGTACACGTAAAATTAAGCAAAAAGACAATAACTTCACATTGGGATAATATTAAAAAAAGGATATGCTCAATTGACTATTGTTCAGAGAACACCTAAACCCATTTTTAGTGCGGTGCACATTCTTTTACCTCCACTTTTTGTGCAAGCTCCAAGAAGGTTTACTATATTTAGATGATGCCCAATATGTATCAGGATTTTCAATTCACTCATCAAAGCTTTGTATTCACTTGCTGTGGCACCTTCTGTGAACACAAAAGAGAGTCCATGTAAGATGATAAACCAGCACTTCATTTAGGGAACTATGACATCATGTATCATATATATATTTAAAATAATTGTCATTAGTGAATATACTTCCATGTATTTCTGTTTTTTTTCTGTCCCTATGTGCCCAGCATCCTTTGAATTGAAGTAAAATCCCTTAAAGACATAATCAATCTTCATTTCCTCCCAATAGATCCTTTTATATTTAGAACTGAGCAAATTTTTTTTTGTGTCAACAGTCTATAGTTTTGGCCAAAAAAAGTTAAAATTTCAAGACCAAATTTAGCCAAATTTAATTGAATTTAAATTTAAATTTGGTTAAAAACCTTGAAAACAAAATGTTTCATTTTGGGTTGAATACATTCAACTGAAGCAATTTTTTTCTTTATATACTATATATTTAATTTTGGTGAGAAAACTGATTTTTGCGGGAGGCAGCTGAGGATTTTTTTTCCCTAGCAGACAGAACAGAGAGCTGTGACTCCAGGTACCTGGTCTCAGTAACAGACTTACTGTGTGAACTGGCCCATAACATTAAATTTACTCTGAGGCTTATTTCCCCATTGCTAAAAATGGGGCTCATACTTCACCGGATTATTGTGACATAAGGGGTATTCCTTATCACGCAGAAGTGTTGAGTAGAAAATGCATTAATGATTGTGAGATGCTCAGGTAGTACAGCAATGATGCCATGTGTGCTGTACTTGTCCTCTGCCTAATGGAAAAGCAAGCCTCTAACTGACTTTATGGACCTGAAAATCAAGCCTTCATCAGCCTCCTAATGCTAAAGCCCTGGAAAATCTTGTTGTTATTTCTTAGACCTCCAAGCACACCAAGTCATATGCTGGCAAATCAATTCTGTTACTAAGGGTTGCTAAGGTGGATGACACATGCTAACCAGAGACTGGGACCAGGTGCAGGGGTGAAAAGGCAGCTGCACATCTACCTCGTGTCCTACTACAGCAGGTGCAATGGTCAGGGGAACATTCTCAAAGTCACACTTGGACAGCACAGCTTAGCTGGGGTGAGGATGGGTTTGCAGTAGTCTGTTGCTGGTTTAGGCCAGCAAAATATTACTATAGCTCTGGGACAGTGAGAAGCAATAAGGAAATTGTGATACCCCAAGCCACCATCCACCTCAAGAATGCCCCAAGTAGCACACCAGTGGTGCATTACTCCTTACTAATGCATTTGATTTAGGACTGTTCATCATTCACATAAAACTGTGTGCTGTAAAATATCAGGAAAGCAGACACTAAATGGATTAAACATGGCTGACAGAGATCTCAGAAACCAAATGTCAACGAGGAATCATCATAGCAAAGGGTGTTTCTAGTGGGGTTCTGTAGGAACCAATGTTAGACCCAACACACTACAGGCCCACATGACAGGAACCACTAGCTAGAAGCTGAAGGCAGTCATATTCAATTTAGAAGTTAAGGTACTTTTTACCAGTAAGCAATTGAATTCTTTACTTCTCAGTTATCTTCAGATTAACACTGAATGCCTTTCTGGAAGATGTGCTTTAGCTAAATACAAGTTGTTAGGCTCAATATGTGAATAACTGAGAGTAATGTAATGGCCTGTGATTACAGTAGGTTACAGTAGATGATCTGATTGTTCATCCTGGCTTTCTAGTCTCTAAATTTTCCTGTGGATTTACTCTTGGGATACAGTCTAACTCACAAGCCATTCTTCCTTGTTAGTTTTCCCTGCTGATGATGCTATTTAAATCTTTTTCAAAAGTTTTTTTTTTTCAGCAACCAGGTAATTGAGCACTTCTGAAGCCGTGGCCATAATCAATAAGGTTTCTTCAGCACTTTGACTAGGAACTTTATTTTCACTTTAAGGGTTTGCCACTTCATAGAAAAATTTGATCTGAGCTTAAACTTGATATCCAAGTTTTGTTTATTTTAAAAATAAACTAGTCAAGATAACATTTTCTCTCTCAATTCACATCCATAACAAGAGCTAAAAGATAAGCAGTACATCATACATCAAGGCAATCCAGCAGCAGAATACCTTTCAGCATTTTCACAGCAACTATTCTGTATGTGGGTGATTTTTTAATTCCAAAAGCAGCTGCTTGTATCACTTTCCCAAAAGCACCATGGCCAAGTGATTTTCCTGCAAAGAAAGTAAATGGCAGAGAGATGCACATAAAAAAAAAAAAAAAATTAAAAACCCATAGAGAATGCTCTGCAAATGTTTCCAAATATATTTTTACAAGATGTTTACACTATAGAGTGCATTCTTAATGATACCCCAGGGAGGCAAGCTAGAATGGGGTAGGAGCATCATTGGTAAAGGGAACCTAAACAGCTACTACTCTTAGCAACAAACATGCATTTACCCCTATCCTTCCGGGACTGTCCTGCCCAATTAGGAAGGGGTGGTCACCCTAACAGCAAGTTGCCCCGGGTGGGGTAGAAGATGCTGAGGCCAGCACTAAGGCTGGCCCCAGCAGCCTTACCTGGGGTCCTGGGGGCTTCCCAGGGCTCTAGTGGCAGTGATCTGGTGCACACAGCCTGGCTGTCACCAGGATCTCTCCATGTCATACTGCACATGCACGCTCATCTGAATGTACCCCAAAACAGCAAGCTGTATTAGGCCCAAATACCTGATGGCTATAAACCTGACTGCCATAAACCCAGTCTACCTAGACTGGGCCTACCTGGCTGACTGCCACACTACTGGTGGTGGCTGTTTGTCTCCAAAGACAGTGCCCAGGGCTGACGCTGTGGTCATCCCACTCAGTTATACTACTGGGGGGAGTCTAACTGGGGGGAGATACTACCTCAGCATCTGCACTAGCAGAAGGGCTGTCACTGCAGCAGCTATGAACACCATTAAGAGTAGCAGACCCAGCTAGGAATGGCCAAAGTGGAGTTTGAAGGTAGTTTCTATTTTTCTCAGCCCTCACCGGGCAGGTAGGACTAAAGCAGCCCCCTCTTCCCAGAGAGATAATCGGGCAGAATTTCCCCAGGAGAAATCAAAGGCCTCGAGGCTGCTCCTGTACCCAGGGCTTGTGTGAACTCTAATATTAGCCAGCATACCAGGCACTTTGTGTGCTGAGGTGAGATGTAGCACTCCTTGGTGTTACCAGTTCTCATGGATTTTATCAGTCGTCTCAATATTTTGGTGGGGGTGGTTTTTCTTAAAGCTCCAACTGTAATCATAACATGGTGACAGGCAAAACTAGCCTCATAAAAATAAGCTTCTAGACCACACGGCAGCAGAGAAAAGTTGTAAAAACATGACTCAAATATATCCTAGAGGTTTAGAAACCAGCTAGGATCCCAAACTTATTAGAGAGAGAGAGAGAGAGTGTTTAAGCCAATGTCCTTTTTATGGCTTCTCAAGGTTTTCAAATGGCTAAGTTGTTGGCAATACCAATTTCTTTTCCTCTGTCTAACCATCCCAGTGAGATCCTGGTTTACTTGTTCCTTCTTCAGTGGCTGAGACATCATGATGTGAGAAATCCTCTCAGAAAATATTTTCTAAAATCATAATCCCAAGCATCTCGCTTCATTTTGTATTGTTGCTTCAGTTTCACCCAGTAAGTACCCAGTAGGACATATTTTACCAACTTTTCTAGTACTCTTGTGTCTGTAGTAAAACAACTGATATTGTGGTGAGGAAAAAAAGAACGGCAAGTAAAGCTTCATTCAAAATAGAAGAAAAAAGTCAAAGTATACAATAGAGTTAAAACTTATTCTTCAATTATGTAAATTGGACATTATATAAATTGCACACCATTTCTCTCTTTCTTGACCTTCTACCTTAACCAGCAGGATGATGCAAAAAACAGCCATTGACTTTGTCAGCAGAACTTTAAATTTACACACACATCCTTCCACAGATTTTAGGAGGTACAGAAAAACAGAGCCATATTCCTGCAGATATTAGAAAGCAGGCAGAAAGGAGGGAGCTGTCTCCATTTTCCAGCCCAGTGCTTCTTGTCTTAATGGAGATCACTATGAAAACATAAAGAAATTCTGTGGCCACCCTTGTTCAGGTGGTGAGGAGAAAAACAGTAAGAAAAATAGGAAGTATAATTTCCCCCAGCATCATAAAATGTACTGCATTTTTACACTTAAAAATACTATCTATGCTGCCGAGCAGAACAACAGTCTGACCAAGAATTTGTCAGACTTGTAGTTTCAACCCCAAGAAGGTTTAGTATTTTTTAAAGATCTCTGTGGGCTTCTCCCATACAATTTCTATGCCTCTGTCAACTTGATTAGATTCTACAGTCCTTGCTCGATGGAAATGATCCATGTATAAGAGAAGCAGTATCAAGATTTAGGTCAGAGCTTTCCTAGTAGGGTAATGTGATATTCTTTAGGTTTTCACAGTGTAGCAACCTCTAATTAGCTCACTACAGGTGTCTTGCCCAAGGCACTACAACCTCTGTATTCATAGTAAGCTTGACAAACCCATCATTTTATTGTTTCCATCAGTAATTTCCCACACTGGGATAAACAATTTAGTCACTACTTCATAAAGCTATTCTCTTTTAAATCAATCTAAACACTGGAAACACTTCCCTTCTGATTTACCACTTTGATTTCATTGAAAATTGCACTAAAACGGATTCTACCTCTACATTTTTACTCTATTGTTTTGCATCACATTAAGTGCTGACATAAAACAGGGTGTTTTTTTCACTGTGTGAACCCAATTTAATCCCAGATTGGGGGTTTTGACCAATTCTTCTCCTATAAATCATTTCTGTAACAGATGTTTACATGGAAAACATTAGGAAAGTATTAATGGATTCTTAGCTATTTTGTAATATAGTTTGGCAGTTGAAAATAAGGAGCTGGTATTGTACACACAGACCACTAGCTGCTCTCACTGAGACCTCTGATGCTGGGAATAGCACAACATTTACATTCAACTCAAGGATTTGGAATTCTCTACTTAACATTCCAGAAACTGGCAGTTTCTTAGCTTAATCCTAAATCCATTAAAGTCCATGGAGAATTACTTCAATGGTTTTCGGATCAGGCAGTTTCCATCTGGGAACAGTTCAACAAGATAATTAAGCATGAGCTATTTGTAAATATGTGCGTTGTCTTCATAAAGGCATGCAGGGGCAACCCATTCTTGTTATATGCTATTGGCTCCAGCTAACTGTGGAGAGACACAGACACACAGTAACTTTAATGACATGTTCCAGATGTTCTGCATCAGAAGATTCCTGCTTTAAAATCATAGAATCATAGAAAATTAGGGTTGCAAGGGGCCTCAGGAAGTCAACTAGTCCAATCCACTGCTCAAAACAGGAGCATCCCCAACTAGATAATTCCAGCCAGGGTTTTGTTGAGCCAGGCCTTAAAAACCTCCAAGGATGGAGATTCCACCACGTCTCTAGGTAACCTCCTTCCAGTGTTGCACCACCCTCCTAGTAAAAAAGTTTTATCCTAATATCCAACTAAAAACTCCCTTGCTGCGACTTGTAACCACTGCTCCTTGTTCTGTCATCTGTCACCACTGAGAACAGTCTAGCTCTAACCTCTTTGTAACCAGGGCCGGATTAATGCATAGGCAAACTAGGCACATACCTAGGGCCCTGAGCTGTGGAGAGGATGGTTGATCCTTCTCTCCGTAGCAGCAGCACGAATGGCCCCATCTGCCTCCCTTCCCTTCTGGGAAGGGCTGCTGCTGCCCCAGGGACCTGCACGCCTTCCCCAGCCTCTGTCTTGCTCTGGGCACTAGGAAAATAGAGGGCAGGTGCAGGGGGAGGCTGCAGCTGGGTGGGAGTACAGAGCCCATGCCCAGGGGGGCAGTGGGAGTGTGGAGCCTGGGTGGGCAGGGTGTGGACGTAAGGGAAGTCGTGGGGTGTGGGCATCCCTCACACACTCCCGCCCAATGGTGCACAGCCCTTGCTGTCAGCAGCAGCAGCCCTCTGGGCATTCATGGCCCGCACAGGCCCAGGCACACAGCTCCAGCCAGCGCTGCACAGTGGGAGTAAGGAGCTACCTCTTACGCTGGGCTCTGTGCAGCACATCTGCAACTCCGCACTACTGGGGAAAGCCCGGAGCTGGCTGCTTTCCCCTCCCCCTGCCTTGCAGGTTGCGGGAAGCAGAGGGAGGGGAAGGCAGCCAGCTCTAGCCTGCACTGCTTCTCCCCCAGAACTGCACATGGGCTGCGCGGAGCCCAGTGTGAGAGAGGTGGCTTGCGGGGCTGTGCTCTTTGCCACCACCATGCAGCGCTGGCCAGAGCCACACATCGTGGGGTGCTGGTGCCTGCATGGGTCCCAAGGGCAGCTGCCACTGGTGGTGGGGAGTGTGCCATGGGGAGGTTGTGTGAGAGACGGTATCAAGGGCCTAGCTAAAGCCAAGGTAGATTACATCTACTGCTTTTCCCGCATCCACAGAATCAGTTATCTTGGCATAGAAGGCAATCAGGTTGGTCAGGCATGACTTGCCCTTAATGAATCCATGCTGCCTGTTCTTAATCACCTTGTCCTCCAAGTGCTTAGAAATGGATTCCCTGAGGATCCAATCCATGATTTTTCTGTGGACTGAGGTGAGGCTGACTGGTCTGTAGGTCCCTGGATTCTCATTTTCCCTTTCTTAAAGATGGGCACTATATTTGCCCTTTTCCAGTTGTCTGGGACATCCCCTGATCACCATGAGTTTTCAAAGATAATAGCCAGCAGCTCTGCAATCTCATCAGCCATCTCCCTCAGCACCATCAGATGCATCCCATCTGGCCCCATGGATTTGTACACATCCAGCTTTTCTACGTAGTCCCTAGCCTGTTCATTCACCACTGAGGGCTGCTCACCTCCTCCCCAAACTGTGCTGCCCAGTGCAGTAGTCTGGGAGCTGAGCTTGTCTGTGAAGACTGAGGTATAAATGGCATCGAGCACTTCAGTCTTTTCCTCGTCATCCATCACTAGGTTGCCTCCCCCATTCAATAAGGGATGCACACTTTTCCTGACCTTCCTCTTGTTGCCAACACACTTGTAGAAATGCTTCTTGTTACCCTTCACTTCCCTTGCTAGCTGCATCCAATTGTGCTTTGGTCTTCCTGATTTCATCCCTGCATGGTCTGGAATGATTTATGAGTAGCTATGCCTATACTTTAGAATGGGTGTTCCCATGCTTCTGGGC